AAAATTTTGGTTTGCTTTGGTTTCCACTGGAATCAAGATGACTGTGACTTGGTCTTGCCTGACTATCATTCATATCCCATTGAAGGATATTTGCATAAGGTTGGGCTTATCTCAACTTTTTCCTGTAGCAGACCTGGGCACTTTTTGTATCGGTCGAGTTAACTAGGGGGCGCAGGGCTACAAAGCCAGGTCTCGTTCACAGTGAAAGGCAGCCTTCATTGAATCTGTATGCGTGAACTGTCATTCAGTTAGATCAGTTTTGTTTTGCTGAGGTTTGGTTTAATTTAGGTTAACCAATAATCACAACCAATAACTGCAACTAATAACCGCAGAGTGATTTATTTCTGCCTCAACTGCTATTTGGCACTAATGCACAGGGCAGGCAGCGCAACAATTGAAAAATAGTTGCAGGAAGGGACAGAATATCTTTGACAATGTCAAACATGTTGGATTCGTTTTTGAATACATCTTCTCTTCCTGTCTACAGATCGTCACATGATGTAACACATTCCTGCTTAACACAGCTTAGCAAGGATAAGGGAGAGCTTGGTTTGATGCAAGGCATCTCCCTGATAATCCAAACACAGCAGAATCATTATCACATGAGAAGTGGGATTGCACAGGGATCTAAGTCACGCTCACAAAACGATTTATCGTGCAGCCCTAGTTTAATTACTCAGTTCTGTTTTCCATTTTCTGAATTTATTTGTCTTTTGTTGGGCCCACATTAGTTGATAATTGTCTTTGCTTTGTATTTTCTTATTTTTGGGGGCAATTGAAAACTCACCTCTTTAGAAATTCAAACCCTGTGTCTATGTGTCTTGCTGTTCAGTCCCTCACACAACCAGATCAAATCAAAGGCAGGCCTGCCAAATAGCGAAAGAGAAATGTACCCATTTGTCCAGAAATACCTTCTGACAGCACAAATCCCTGCCAAAACCTGAGTCATCACAGAAGGACACTGAGGTGAGCACACACATACACAAAATGGAGAGAATGTGTGGGTGCTAGCTCTGGTGGTCAGTTTGCGCAGGATAACAAATCCATCTGTAGTGATCAGTTTGTGTATATGAGCCCCTCCTGCTCTCTCCCACAGGTCAGCATCTTAAACCTAGCATAATAAACAGCGGCTGTATGTATCCACTTTATAACATGACATCCTCCATTCACAGCGCTGTCATCATTGAGCCAGTTACCACCTCCCATAGTGTTTTGCTGACAGACATTTTAAATTAGACTAATAAATTGCCTAGCGCTCTGCCTCATGCCTTCTAAAAGCCCTGTTACCCAGAGACAAATTAGCACACTGTAGGTAGAAAGACTGGATTCTGCACAAAAGGCCAAGTTGTTTTTATGAGGTGAGACATAAAAATCAAACAGGGAGGGTCATCTGAGGAGGTCATACAAACAAAGAGAAGATAAGCAACAAGAAAACAAGCTTTAATACATTAATGAGCCATCAGTGCATATACACTGCATAGTGAGGTGCATTGATAGGATGGATGTGACATTTCAAAGCCAGTCAGAACAGGAGAAAATATGCTTTGGCTTGATGTGTGATCTGAAGTGGGGGGGAAAGGATATGTGTGAGTGTGCTGGATAATGCAGTCAAAGCACTAAAAAGGTTGGGGTTGGTAAGAGTTTGAAGTCTTTTTCTATAGAGCAGGTTGTGTTGTTGCAGCACTGGTTTTTGTCAGCACTCATTTAGTGATATTCTTTCAACTCTCAGCGAGCCTTAACATCCTCTTCACATGAAGTGAGCTGCACTTAAGAAGAGAGTGGATGGAAATTAAGCTCCTACACAATGCGTGGGTACCACTGCCAAGCACATGACAAAGTGGAAAGTGTTGTATTTCAAACCATTTAATGTTTCTCAGATGTGAGGCAGTGCGGCCTGAGGAAAAAGAGAAAGCGAAGTAAGGGAGCACAGGGAGATAGACAAAACAGCAGCTTTATAGCTGGCCACATAACTGGCACTCAGAAAACAAGCCATCACTTCTCCTCTTCCTCTGGTCGGTTGAGTGTCGTAACATTGCTGATGATATTGTGCTCATTGTAACTCACAAAGCAGGGAGGAATGTTTGGCCGACTCTCTGGGAAACGTCACTTCAGGGCACACACCTTTCACACCCGGGGGACTTGAATTCTGCTGCAGAGAGTTCAGTGGTGAGGAGCTGGCAGAGGGAGATATGCTTTTTACTTGAGGTACAAGCTGTGAGAGGAGAGTAACCTAGAGCTGGCTGCTCTGATATTCACACGCTTCCTCAGCTTCTTGCTTTCCTCCCTATTACAATCATTCTTCCCCACTGCTCTTACTCTGAAACGCTTTTCTTCTTTTTATTTTGCATCTTTCTTCAGCCTTCCTTATATCTCTCCTCTTCCTTCCTCTTTTCAAAAGCTCTGCCTCATTCTGCATTGGGCCTAAACTTGAATAAACAATCGTTTCTCTGTAATAAGAGCCTCCCATCTTGCTTCCTAAAGGAATGCCACCTCCCAGCCTTCACCTCACCATGGTTACTGGGAATCTACTGGGAATCTCATTTTACACTGAGGTCAATATGGGCACATACTTCAGAGAAACAGCAAGGCTTGATCAGTGTGCAGTTTGCATACACTCATTGATTAAGTCAGGAAAATCATGTTATTGTTTTTGTTTAATTTTGTTTTTATGCAGACAATTTATGAAAAAACAAAATGCAGGTGCAGAGTTGATCCATCTACTCACTGACATAATTAGTGTGGATGCATCCACACTCTTGTTATCCTCTTCTTTATTGTGTGGATGCGTAAGCCATTGAAGGGCCATTGAGGTATCAAACTGTTTATCTCCTTAAGGACATGTGTGCTTGTATACAACTTTTTTATAACTTTCATACTTTTTATGATAGTCAGCTTTTTTTACTGAAATTTCCCCATTGGAAATGAATGGGGCAAAGTTGGAAGCTTAATATCTCTGGCATACCTTGGGCTAGAAACGCCATTTCAACTTTATTCAACTCGTGAGATGATGTACCCATTGACAGTCCATGCTGGAGGTGGGTGGGGTCCCTCTTTTTTTATAATCAATATTTATATGTTGTCTACCTTTCCATTCAAAGTGAAATTACTTAAATAAAGCTGAAATCTAACTTCATTTTACATGTCTGTTTTTCTTCCTTGCCTTATAAAGTATCTGAAATGAAATAATTAATGTTCTGACAATATAATATAATACATTATGTGTTCTGATTGTTCTTGGTGTACACTGGGTGTGCTTGTGTCCAAACCATCTTAATCTGGCCTCTCTGACCTTGTCCCCAAAACAGCCGACCTGAGCTGTCCCTCTGATGTGCTGGTTCCGAATCCTGTCCATCCTGGTCACTCCTAAAGAGAACCTCAACATCCTCATCTCTACTACCTCCATCTCTGCCTCTTGTCTTTTCCTCACTGCTACAGTCTATAACCCATACAGCATAGCTGGTCTCACTACTGTCTTGTACACCTTTCCTTTGATTCTTGCTGACACTCTTCTGTCACACAACGCTCCTGGCACGTTTCTCCACCCATTCCAATCTGCACTCGCCTCTTCACCTCTTTCCCACACTCCCCATCTGTTTTGAACATGCACCTTTTAAATTAAGTGATCAAGTTAATACTGTTTATTTTGTTATATTACACAGCCTTACGCTGGTTTACTGTTTACTTGCCCCTTGCATGAGGATATGTACATGCACATTGAGAGCTGATGTACCGATGTAGTTAAATTTCCCGTGCGTCTGACACACCTGGCCAGTAAAGCAGATTCTGATTCTGATTTGAATTCCTGTAGAAAATGCAACTTGTTGAAATAATCAAAATGCATTTGACAGACTCTCATGCTTCCACTGACTCTAATGAAAAATAAGAATTTCTGAATAAAAGACACTCCAAAATTCCATTAAATTGGCTTTCATTCTCTGCTGGTCAGAAATGCAATTTCCTTCAAAATTTTCAAAAAAAAAAAAAAAAAGCTGTCTAACGGATTCTGGAGTGCCTTACAGCTCTTTTTATTCCACTTGACAATTTGCAAACCAGCTTTTGTGCTACGAGTGTCTGATGCCATAATCCTGGTGGCAATCCAGCCTTGTACATGCAGCCAAAATAAAGTACTGTAGTCCTTTTCTTCCAACAGCCTTGAAAGCATATCATTTAAAGATGCTGACTCGGTTGTTTTGTTGAAATAATTCTACATTTGAACCCTGGTCCTAGAACATGTGTTTTGGTTGTTTGGCTGTTGTGTTGCAGAGCTTCATCTCTCTCTGTCATGTTGTTTTAATGATGACCAAGCATCACATTCATCAGCACTGATCTCCTTTCATGTCTGATACCGACAGTGTACTGGCACCCAGAAGGCTACAATAATGTGTCATCCACTGAGAGGTCCACAAATCTCAGGGAAGATGAGGGGATTATAATGCATGTAAACTATACAGCACACAATCTCCCATCTTTTTGTCACTGGGCACCTTTGGTTTGTTCTGCTAAAGTGGAAGCTTCTCTCTTTAATAGCTTGGTATGGCTGTTTCACTACAGTAACCTCCACCTACCAACAATTACAGCACTGCTGTTTGATGTCAGGCATTGTGTTGCATACAGTCTTTAACAAGGAATGGTGGAATTAATAATTATGCTACATGAGCCCCATCTATGAGTGCATTTATGACAGAAGTATTATTTTAGTTTGCAGTTAAATACCTTACTTGATCTTTTCTCAAAACAGCTTTTTACAATCAAGTGTTTTCATAGAATTAAAAATAGAACAGTAATAATATGATGGTGGCAGTATTCAACATAATAATAATATATGGTATTAATGGATTATTATTACTGTTATGGTTTAGTCCCCCTCACCAGGAGGCTGAGGGAGAACTGAGATAGGACTCAAGATTGCTGATCCAGGTGCTAGTTAAAAAAAAAGGAGGTTTGATGGGACAAAAACAAAGTAACAACATAACAAGGGCAATGTACATATATAAACAAAGTAGGGCAGAGATGGTGGAGGAAACTGGGATGACCAGGCGAAAAGACAGGCTAACAGCAAAAAAAAACAGGAGTCGGAGGAACAGGACGGACAGGTGAAGAAGCAAGCTAACCAGGTGGGTAGGCGAACAAAAAAGGAAATCCACAGCACAAGAACTGTCAACGTGGAATAACAAAAAGAACGTCTAGCTAACCACATAGAAAAAAACAAACTCAGAGATCCACAGCACAGGAACTGTCAGCATAGACATAACACTAAACATATAACTAATGTACAAAATGCGATTCACAGCACAGGAACTCTCAGTGTGGAAAACAAAATGACGTACAAATACATACCACAACTGTAGGGCTGTTACGGGGTATGCACGTTAGGCAGGGGTATGCACGTTAGGCAGGGGTATGCACGTTAACGCTCCGGCAATGACGGAGCGTCCACCAGAGGTATAAATAAGGTAGGAGGATGATTACAGTAATGTGCCTCAGCTGTGCGCGATAACCCACAAGTCACTAATTACAAAATGCGCCACAGCTGAGGCGCTGATCCTGCAAGAAGAGCGAGCAGGAGAGAAAAAGGCAGAAGAGAGGGAGGTCGCGCTGAGCGGAGCTGAAAACTACTCATTCCTTCTAGTATTTTAATGTTGTAGTTGAACAGAGGTGATTATGTGGTATTGAGAACAAACTACTGTACATATACCATTGAATCAGAGAATGAACATTCTCCAAGAAGGCACCTCTTTTACATATTGTGTGATTTTTGCCTTGACTGACTTTTATTTAAAACTCTTTAAAAATTAATTGGTAAATACTACATTCTTACATTTAAAATCCCCCTCTACTTAAAACTATATTCTGGTTATTGATTTGCATGTTGAAGCTACACTGGGCAGACTGATGCATGTACAGAGTCTGACATTTTTCATGTTCATCCAAAAGTCTAGAAACTAGCTTTAAATGGGATTGTTCAAATAAAGCACAAGTACCTTCTAGAGGATGTGTACCTAGTTACATTCATATGCAGCTCAGAAGCTTGGATTATATAGAAAATCCTTAACATTTTATTTAGAAAAATCTGTTAAACTTCATTAAGATGTATAAGAAAAAGGCACAAGATATTCAGCATTCAGTCATTTGCCAAGCACTAATTCCAAAGGAAAAGTGACTTTATTACCATGTGTATTTTTTGTGTATTTACAGTAAGTTAGATATGACTGAAGAGTTTAGACTGACATGAAATAAAACCACTCAAGTAGACCCTGAGGAACTGCAAACAGACTCCCCCACCCACCCACACATGAATGCAAATCAAATTTTGTGCACTTCCATCTCTCCCTCTCTCTCCTCCCTTAACTTCTCCCATCTCCCCTCCCACCCGCTGCTCTACCTTTGCCATTAGAGCTATTTGCATCTGACTGAGAGGCCATTAGAATAATAATTAGCTTGACCCACCAGAGAGGGAAGGCCTTCATCAACACTACACCAACCACCAGCCCAAAGGTACATACACACCCACACACACACTTAACTGTTGAGTGAGACATACATACACACATGCATGTGATATATTGTACATATAAAATCAATGCATATCAGTCTTAATGTTTATATTGTATATTGTCCAAATATTTAAATATTAATAAATTAAAAATGGTTTCTTTAGCATGGTGCTTTAGCAGCATTGTTTGTTGAAGATTTTATGCTAATAAATAATTTGAAATTAGAAATAGGCTAACACATTCATATAATTTCATTATCTAAATATGTCTTTGCAGTCAATCTGCACAAACAATTTTTCTAGATTTTGCCACCCAAGGTTTGACTCTTTGTGCATACAATTAAATTTCACCCCTGTGTGTGTGTGTGTGTTCTTGTATTTGCTACATACGCAGGACCTAAAAAAGGTTTTTTGTTTGTTTGTTTTTTGCTACAGAGTGGGGGCATTTTTGGAAAGTGAAGACATTTTGGCCAGTCCTCACTTAGGGAAACACCATTTTGAGGTTTAAGACTTGATGCTAAGGTTCAGATTAGAGTTAGGTTTAGGTTCAACTTAGGGTAAGGGCTATGGTTAGGCATTTAGTTCTGATGGTTGGGGGAGGGGGTGTTGGTTGGAAGAAAAAGCATCAAGCGTGAAACATTTTAGCAGTGCTGCAGTTAAGGAGGGGACTGAAGAGACTATAAGAAAATGTAACATGACTTGTCAGAAAATCTCCTTGAAATTACTCTGAAGTTTCTGGGGAGGGAAATTGCTGAACCAATAGTACTACATTCAGGCAAATGCACTTCTGGCAAATGGAATGAAAAATGGGTATCACATGCTTTTAGCAGATATGTGCTAATGTGCCCAATTTCCAGGCTCATTATGGCATTAATGTACAAATCTCTGGCCTGGGTGGTGATTATTCACTTTGAAGGCAAAAGTAATCACCAATAATTAGCAGTCACTGAGTATTGCTGAGACCAGAACTCTGTTTGTATGAACCACGGCATGCACAAACTGCACACCTTAATCATAGTGAATGAGTGAATCTTTAACCCATATCCAAAAAGCAATTTTAGTTTCACGTAACATTTATTCACCAGGTGCTGTCATGTAAGCTGGGAACCTGTATGTGCTGCTAAAGTTTTAGCAAAAAAACATGTCTTTGTCAGGCTTTTGCTCTAATATTGTCCGACAAAAATTGCATTAGATATAGTGACAGGTGAAAAAGAAGCCCTACCCCGCAAAGACAGTCCTCCTGTAAAAAAGTCAGTCAAAATGTCGTTTGTGCCAGCATCTTCTCAACTTTATTTATATATGACAACACCTGTCATTACATGACAGCACCTGGTGAATAAATGTTACGTTGTTCTTATTACGAACAATGGTAAAATTATATAGTTAAAACCCTCCTGTTATGTTGCGGGTCAAATTGACCTACGAACATAACTGCTGAGCAGGCATCACCTGAGATATGAACATAACAGGAGGGAACCCTCCTGTTATGTTCATTTATGTTCATTTATGTTCATGCCTGCTCAGCAGTTATGTTTGTGGGTCAATTTGACCCGCAACATAACAGGAGGGTTAACCCTTCTGTTCCCTTACTATTTAAACCCTTCTGAAGCTCTATTCACCCACTTCCATATTTTTGTTACCCACCCATTCTGCCCCCCAATTTTTTCTTTTACTCTAAATTCCTTCTATCCCTGTGGGGAGGTCTGCCAGTGTTTGAGAACAGTGTAGACCTTTGCCCAAAAACAAAGTGCATAAGCATACAGTATATACAAACAGTCACCATTCTTCGCCACTACTAGTGAGGGCAGGTCCCAGCTAGTGAAGTCCACCTAAACCATCAGTCCTACAATAAATCCTCCTTCAAGGAGGTGATAAAGTTCAAGTTTTGGCTATTTTTGAGAGCTATTGATTCAACTGCACTCAATGCACAAGCGGAGTACACACAAGTAGCAAGTTAGGTTGACAAGCAGGTAGGCCATCCAATGGTTTTGCTTGGAACGAGTAAAATTATTGCTCAGGCTTTTTTCAGCCCTGCTACTGCCACAGATGACCGAATCTTTTCTTTATGTTGTCTGGGCATTCATTGCCATGGGAATGAAAAGAAAATTTTATGATGTGGCACAAAAATGCTTCTGAAAAGAATCGCCAACCCTACCTTTAGAGAGGGAGGTTTTTCTTTTGATTTAGTCTAATTGATATGAATTGTGTGAGAGAGCATGAAAGAGGCTGTGTGCATATGTGTGCACGTGAGTGCAATGAAAGCCTTTGTCTGTCTACTCAGTGGCTACTATGTATATAGTATGCATGCATAAATCCTTGCATATGACTTTGTGTGTAGAGGTACAGTATATCTGTCCTAATACTGGTTTGCTGGTGTGTGTGTATGCATGCAATTAAGCATAAATTATTTTGCATGTGTGTAGAAGTATGTGCACCAATGTGTGTGGATTTAGTATGTACATGTACAAACATGTAGTTAATATCATTTCTAGTATATACATGCATGCCTGCATGTTTGTGTGTGTGTGTGTGTGTGTGTGTGTGTGTGTGTGTGTGTGTGTGGTTGCTGCAGGCAGGTTGAAGATTGTCTCCCCCCTGAGGGCCTCTCTCTCCCTGCAGCATGTGGGAACCATGGCGCGTTGCCAGGATACAAGCCCCTCGTCTGTACTGACAAGAAGACATGAAGAGCAAAGATTAATTATTTACAAGCAGACCCCTGTACACCACGTCTGGCTTGGCACTTCTCCTGCATTAAATGTCACTATCTATGAAGCCATCCGTTTTATTGCTTATTCTCCTTAAGCACTGTAGAAAATCTGTTGCATCCTCTTGTGCATTTCTTATGTAGTTCTTACTATATTTCCTTTATTAATAAAGCAATTTATATTTGAATAATCAGCTATGATGGTGAATTTTGGGATATTTTAAAGCGATATGAATGCTCCCTAATGGTCCCTGCACTCCCACAGCTATTTTCATTGTTTGCGAGCTGGGCTCACAAGCGTCCTCTGGGCAGCCTTCCCCCCTGCTTCATCTAATATTTATTGGTCTATACACTGCTGACTGACTAGCAGGTCTGTCTTCTGAGTGCATTAGACATTTACAAAACATATTAAAATGATTCATTTACCATCACATTCATCGTCAGTGCCATCTCTGCCTATATCTCTCTAAATGAGGAGACATCCAGAGGCACCTTGTGGGGGTGGGGTGGTTGACTAAGTGAGTTGTGCATTTATTGCTCGGATGATTTTTTTGTTGTTGTGGATGAACACATAAAAACATGCAGACTAAAAAGACGCTATACCCTATCGAAAGCACCAGCACTGACAATCAATTGCACTCTTATTATTTTAACATCAAGCAATTCACTGTGGAGGATATCCAGGAGTGTGCGCCCTGGTTCTGGCTGTGAGGAGGCTGGAAGTAAAGGCATCTGTGCTGCTTTAACCCAGGCTGGTCCTTTGTTCTCATTTCCTACCACCTCTTTGTTGTGCTGCTGACTGTCTGTCTGCTTGTCTGTCTGTCTGTCTGTCTGTCTGGAGCCAGCCAAGGTTTATTTGCATTCCCCCTGCACATCCATATTCATATGGAAGCAGGTCACTCTATGAGGAGACGCGTGTTTGTGTGTGTGTGTGTGTGCGCAGGATTTAATTGGGCTTTGGTCAGAGGGGATTCTCCACACTGAGTCCCAGGTGGAGAGGGAGCAGGGATCCCACTGTTCAGAACATTATGCATTTTCTATTGTTTCTTTCCCCCCTCCTAGTGTACACTCCAGCACTCCTGCAGTGATGGCACAAGACGCCTTTTCATCAGAGTAAATTCGGTCTGATCCAGTACTAATTCTGCTCATATCTGTCGAATTGATTTCAAGGACCACAGGCTGGGGAAAATATATTACCCTGTGTTTTTCAAATAGAAAAAAACATTACACCATAGAATCCATATGAAATTTATGTATTTTATTTTGTAAACACTGTTGATGTTAGATTTTGCTTTTAAAACTTCAAGTGATGTGATTCATGTGTTCAGGGTCATATGCAATTTGAAGAAAAAATGGTCCTTGTTGAGAAACAGGACTAATTAATGTAAAATTCAACCTCGTATTGATTGATTTCTAAATATACTGCAGAAAATATTGACCAATGTTCAGTATGTTACTTTTTAAATGACATTGATTTTGGAGTGAAAGATGCCACATAACAAAAACAAAGCCACCTGTCCCTACAGAAAGCATTTTGTTTACTGCAAGGGCTTTTATTATCATCAGAAATGTAATTGCACTGTTGTTGTTGAAGGTCAGAGGACAGGAAAAGGATCAGGTTCAGAGATATAAAGTACGTGCCGAGAATAAATCCCAGGGCCACTTCTGTCCTTTATATTTGCCCGCCACTCTCTGTGACTTCCTTACATGATGGAGCTATTGTATCCCCTTAACCTTATGTATGTCACATGTCAGGAAACACAATCACCACTGCAGCTTCATTCCCCCTAAAGTGGAAATGAGCATTAACGCCAGGCTGGCATTGTATGGTAGAACAAGGTTTATTACAGAGGTCAGTGCCTCAGATTATCAGTGATCTGTAACACAGGGCAGGGGCTTAGTTTTAATATGCAGTTACAAATGAAGGAATATGTGTGGCGTGTTTTATTCTCAGTTTTAATACTGGTTTTTGATTAATGCAGATAAAAAAAACAGGAGTCTTTTAATTATACAATAAAGGTTATCAATGTATTTTTTTGTGCTTCAAAATGACTAAGGTTATATAAAATTTAGGAGGAGGTGACTGTGTTAACAAAGGGGGTGCATTATGTCATTTTGCATTTTTTTTCAGGAAAAAAGGTAGTCTGAACATTTTTTGGAAGCACAGGAACATGTCAGGGGAGTGACATACACTATACATATAAATTAAATACACACAAAAACACACACAGTAACAGAGGATGCTTAGTGAGCACAATAAGCTCAGTCTACTTCAGTCCAGATACATGCTGAGGGGCAACTGGGCTTATACTTGGCTAACCTCTCAGAAAGATTAATGGTAATTTATTACACCACACTGAAAAAATAAGTGGATGTACATTAAGTCAAGCATGCAGAACTGAAAAGCATGTGGTACACAGTGTGATGATTCGTGATTTTGCCTTGTGACTAGACAAGAAAGTAAAGTGAGACTATGCAACTGTTGAGCACACCAAATGAAAATACAGCACCTCCTTGTTTTTGGCACTTCTGGCACACAGAAAAGGAATAATCATATTTTCCTCATATGTCACACACAGTTTATTATTTATCTTATATTGTGTTTCATGTGATTTATCTGATCTTTGGCATTGTACAAATCTTTACAAAAACTGGTCATCTGGGATGAACACCAAATTTTTGTTCCCGCTATGGTTCTTTTATTATTTTGTCCATAAGATTCACTCTCCCATAAATTAAATCTCACACAGTCTCTCATTATAAGCTAATATTTTTCCCCAAAAGAGAGCTACCCTCATCTTATTGTTTCAAATCTCTTTTTGTAAGCAATGAAACAAAATTGTAAAAAAATAAATAAGCACCCAAATCCGTCTCCCCTCTCTCCTGCCAAATGCCCAAGCTGCGTATATTATAACACTGAGGCTAGGTAATTTCACATGAAACACTCACACTCAGTCTTAAAACAATTAGCGGCTTTGTTTGATGGGAGAGAGAGAAGAGTCTATGAGAACTGATTATTACGATGGGATTTTATATCGCTTTTTAAAAACCAATTAAGTCCTGAGAGCTTAGTGGCTTTTCAATAAACAGCACATCGTTAAAGTATTGTGGAGAAACATTGCTGGGTGTGATAACTGGCATCTTTTTAGGGCGGCCTTGGCAGACTCTTACAAAGGAGTCTTGTTGAACAATCGGACTCTCAGAGACAGAAGCCTGAGTTGGCATTTCTCTGGCCTTTTCCCCTCTCTCTCGCAGTCATTTCTCAATCCTTATCTCTCCTCCAGCACTGCAAACGCTCACATTTAACAGGAAACTGAAAGAATACTCTCAGTGTAGCCATTTGAGTCACAGTGCAGAGGACATTAGGGGACATCCGTTCCTTCTTGACGCTGAATTTAAAAGAGCAGTTTGAATCAGTCTGCTGTTTCATTTTTGTCCTCAAATTGTGGAGATAATTACATTGTCCATCTAGAGCACTGCGAATGTCAGCATTCCTTTCATTTTGATGAAAAAATCCCAATATAATCTCTTGTCCTGAACTGGACTCTGACCTCACTGATAATTTATTGAAAACTATAGTCTGTTTTAAATGCGGTTAGCAACTGTGGTCTGGTCAGTGTTTCTTTTTTAAAAAAAGTATGTTGTTTTGCTTTTTAATTGTGCATGAACCAATATTTTACACATTGTCTGATACATCCAGTGAAAATAGGACATGGTAACCTCCTCTGTGACACTGCTGCCTACATCATGTTATTTTCTTGTTGTTATTCCAGCTTTTCCAAACTGTTTTGAAAGTACGCTCCATCAAATAGCCCTGCCTGCTACCTAGCAAAGGTTATAAGAAGTGTTTTATGGCAACCAGCTGTGGAGGAGCTCTCAGCAGCTAAAAGGCCAGAAATGTGGTTAGCAGACTGAATTCAGAGAGAGTGGGGAAAAGTGGGGTAGGTGGGTACAATGTATATTTACAGGTATTGCTCTGAGGGTTATTGTCCAGTCATACTGTCGTGGGGTGTTCATCAGGGTGACAGCCTGGGAGAAGAAACTGTCCCCGTGCCTGGTTTTCTTGGTGCACAGTGACCTGTAAGGCCGTCCAGAGGGGAGGAGTTCAAACAAATTGTATCCTGAAGCCCACTGTCATTTCCACTGTTTTGAGCGTGTTCAACTCCAGGTTGTTGCGGCTACACCACAGGACCAGCTGCTCAACCTCCCGTCTGTAGGCTGACTCATCACCATCTCAGATGAGACTAATGACCATTGTGTCATCAGCAAACTTTAGGAGATGCAGTCGTTGGTGTAGAGTGAAAAAACAGGAGAGGGGAGAGCACACATCCCTGGGGGGCACCTGTGCTTATTGTCCAGGTGCAGGATGTGGTTTTCCCCAGCCTCACCTGCTGTTTCATGTCTGTCAGAAAGCTAGTAATCCACTGACAGGTGGGGGCAGGCACAGTGAGCTGGGTCAGTTTGGAGTGGAGGGTGTCTGGGATGATGGTGTTGAATGCTGAGCTGAAGTCCACAAAGAGGGCCAGTGCATAGGTCCCTGGGGAGTCGAGGTGTTGCAGGGTGTAATGCAGTGTCATGTTGACTGCATCGTCCACTGACCTGTTTGCCCGGTAGGTGAACTGCAGGAGGTCTAGCAGGGGGTCTACGATGTCCTTCAGGTGGGCAAACACCAGTCTTTCAAAGGACTTCATAACTACAGGCGTCAGGGTGACAGGTCTGTAGTTGTTCAGTCCACTGATGGTGGTTTTCTTGGGGACTGGGAATTGTAAACACAAATGTTATGTATTTCCAAAGCAAACTGGAGGCAGTGCAAAACCCTGCATATGACTATTAGCCTTATCAGCCCTGTGATTTGAAACAATACAGTGGCAGATTTATTAGGTACACCAAGCTAAAATAATGAGGTTTAAACAAACAGTCTTGCAACAACCTGATACTGATCATATTCAGTGTGTTCAAATGGTCTCAGAGTGGTACTGATTCAACTCTATGATCACTTTGAATTGCACTGATATAAGGTGGTTGTTACTTTGTCCACCCCATTTATATCAGTGAGGCTAGGGTA